TTGAGTCAGCATCTCACTGTAGTTCAGGTCGTTCTTGAACTCTAGCCTGGGCTTGAACTGGTAGTGATTCTCCTGTCTCAGTCTCCTGAGTGCTGAGGTTACAGGAGAGTACCACCACATCTTGTTCACGGGTCATATATATTTTTGCATTGGGGGAGTGGGCCGTTGTGTTAGCTAAATCAATTAATTTAGCACTATTATGTAAAAGAAATCAACCGTTGAATTTGTGCTTCTGGCTATGTATTAAAAATTTGAAAGCATTTTGAGATGTCTGTATTTCGAGCTTAATCATACTTCCATGTGTTTTGAGAGTGGGGATTAAGGAGCCACTCAAACATCATCATGAAGAGAAAAAAAAATCAATCCAGAAAGCATATTATATACGATAATTTTCTTTTCACTTTTTTTCTTTTGCTACTGAAGATTGAGCTCAGGTGTTTCAAACTGAGCTATGTCCCTAGCCCTTTTAAAATTTAAAACACAAATGTTAACACCAAAGCTTATTGCATTCTGTCTCTACAGAAAAAACAACAAAAAAATAAACAATTGTGGTAGATAGGATGTGGGCTGATGTTAATCTTAGATGATTTTCAAATTTAAAGATTTGATGTATTTAAATTGAGAATTCCCTTGTTCGTAGGGGCTATATGTTGAAGTATTTCAGGTTTGAGTATCATGATGAACCATTTAAAATTTACATATAGGTAGACACAGAAAAACCGTACTGTTCTATCTTCGTGCTAGATGATCAATAAACTCAATTTTTACCTTTTTAAAATTGAATTATTTTGCGATAATAATTAAAAAAAAATACACATATAACGTAAGAGAATTGATGCCATCATGACAAAAGTCCTCCATATAGGAGAATTTCAAAGACCTACTTGCCTGCAGAGAGGAGATGGAAGTATCATGACTCCCTCCTCCCTGATTCATGTTATAAGGGTTTGTACTATTTCATTTGCTTCTTACTCAAATTTGGAGGGAAGGGTTATGGGGAGAGAGACACAGTTGCAAATGTATAAGAGACAGACAGTAGTTTGACCCAGTGCACACTGGGTAACATACATGAAACATGAGGCAGGTATGGCATTTATCTGTGGAAGAAGGCCCTCTTGTTGGAGTAGAATTAACATGCTAAGCTCTTTATGCTAACAGGGTGTGATATGATTCAGGAGTGTCATAGAAAATGTTATCAATAAGGAAGGAGTCAGATTAATTTATTACCTTTAGAGGGGTGAGACAGCCAACTCTTCACAGACCCTCACACAGAGAAGCAGGACACAAAGACCAGCATTTTTTCTAGGAAAACCCTCACTAGCTGCCTGCTTCGAATGTTGGCACTATCATTCCCAGAATAAATGCTGTCTTTTAAAATCTCAGATTCTATTTTGTTCGACTTCCTTCTCATACTGCTTTCAGGCTCTGTTGGAAACGAAGTCATTTCCAAGTACAGTGCATAGAATTTATATTGTCTGAGTATTGCAATCTAGAATTGTAGACCCAGAGAACAGAGGACTTCAGACCTTCACAGAAGCTACAGAGAGATATAAAGTGACTACAGAGATAGATGAACAGAAGGTTGTGTTCTTTCTTCTGAGTATCTGCTTAATTACTAACCATCCATTTGCTGGCTAATTATGGTTAGATTAATCAGACAAGATTTTTTTTTTTTTTTTTTTTTCTGAGACAGGGTCTCACTATGTAGTTGAGACTGACCTGATATTCACTATGTAATCCAGGCTGGTCTTGTCCTAACGGTGATCTTCCTGTCTCAGCCTCCTCCTGCGTGCTGGGATTACAGAAGTGTGACACCACGCCCATCCTAACAAGATTTAAAAAGTGCATTTCTCCAAATCTTATGGTTTTGCTCTTAATTACTGTGTTATCTTGATACTATTCATCATGCTTGTTCATAATCTGATCATATTGCAGGTAGGAGAGTTTTATTTAAAAAAGGGAGTTGGGTCTCCTTTAGGGAGCTTTTTTCTATTTTTATTGGTAGACATTTTTGTCCTGAATAAGGCCTTCCTACAAGTTTCAAATGAGAGCAAAATGAATGCACATATTAAACTTCATAGCACGTTTTATGTATTATAGAGAAATTACTTTGATAATTTTCAACAATTTATTCATCCATTCAGTCATTCCATTCCATTATTTTAATATATTTCTTGAGGCTCGCTAAATCATTTTCATTACTCATAAATACTTCAAAATCTGAATCTAAAAAAGTTTCTAATAGATGGCAGGCACAACTTTGACATTTATGTAACAGGAAAATAGGGATAAGACTGTGGTAGGAGGCAAGATACACTTTTAAGGAAGGAGAGGATTTGCATAAAAGCTGTTAATGGCCCATGTTGTCTCACTTCATTCAATCATTCATTCTTTGCACAATCGTTTAAGGAGTACATTAGAAGTGCCATGTATTTTTGCAGGTCCTGAGAATAGCAAACGAAGATACTTTCTAAAGAAGACCTAAAAAATTTTGGAGGAGGCAATCATTATTCATTAACAATTGTTCTGAGTGTTCAGTGGCTGTAGACACAAAAGGAACTGTGAGAGCTGTATAGAAACATGTGTGCACTGTGCTTTGGGTAGCTCGAAGGAACCTTAGTGACTGTACTTGGGTGAACGAGATAATGTTCTCCTGAAAGAAACGTGAAGAAACCTCCAAAGAATTTGAGGGCTACTTCTGGAGGAAACTGTGTGCTTAAGGGGTTACTAATAAAAGTTCGATGATGCTTGACAAGATGTTCAGTACATTCAATTTCACAATCCATGATTGGGTGTGAGGCTGTGCAGGCAGGCAAGTGTCAGAGAAGATATAAGATTTAAAGTGCTGTTCTGCTTTATCTTGGCACAGATGAGGAGTTTGTAGGTGTCAAACTTCTGATGGCCGTGGGAGATTAAGTGCTTACAGATCAGGTTGAATGTGGTTGCTTACATAAGGGCATCGAAATAGGGCATTAGTTACGGCGATGGGAGGGGCGGATATATTCAGTCCCTGGATGTTTCAGCATTTAAAGCACATTCCCAAAGAGAACAACATGCGAGGGAGTTATAAAGTTAACAATGCAACAAATCATTGTAAAAATCACAAAGGAGTGGAAGCCAGAAAAAAAGTGAAAATAATCAGGATAAAAAAAAATAGGACCTAGAGAAATAGAAAATACTAGACCAGTGTGTTCTTACATCTACCAAGGCTGGCCGGAATACCTAAGTGAACTCATATCTATCTACCTATATATCTATCTCACACACACACACAGACACATGTACGAACGGGAAAAAATGCATACGCAGTGACAGGATCTTGTGCAATATTCAGAGTCGACAAAGTGCTCATGGCTTCCACAAAATCCTTCCAGGATTGCTCGGGCAACACAAAATGTCTCCCCTATTCATGGACAGCGAAACGGCGTTGAGATTGTTTTCGAGATGAGCAATCCTTTGGCCGGTAGCGTTTACAAACCGAAAGCTACACATGGAGGATGTAAAAATGTAAAATAGTTTTGCATTTGGCTCGTCCCTACCCGCGTCGCTTTCCTAGCTTTGTCCCACGCAGTAGAGGCGCCATGTTTTATGTCGGCAGCAGAGAAGAGGGGTTATTTCAACATTTAAGAATTACCTTTGTTACTCAGCGTTATCAACCCTTTTCATAATCAATTGGTGGCCCTGAAAAGGGCCTTTTTATAAAATCCAATAAAAACCCAGGAAATTTAGCCCCCGAAGCCGTAGAGCGTGCGTCCCTGGCGCTTGAGCGCGTAGACCACGTCCATGGCCGTGACCGTCTTGCGCTTGGCGTGCTCCGTGTAGGTGACGGCGTCACGAATCACGTTCTCCAGGAAGACCTTCAGCACCCCGCGCGTCTCCTCGTAGATGAGGCCGGAGATGCGCTTCACTCCGCCGCGCCTGGCCAGGCGGCGGATGGCGGGCTTGGTGATGCCCTGGATGTTGTCGCGCAGAACCTTGCGGTGGCGCTTGGCGCCGCCTTTGCCGAGGCCCTTGCCTCCCTTGCCGCGTCCAGACATGTTTAACAGCTGGGAGGAGTGAAGTTGCTTTGAGCGAGGAAATACTCTGCAGTTCCTTATATACCCCTCCTGCGGACCTTTTTGGGAACTGCAACCGCGCGGGCGGGAAGAAACCTCTGTTCCCGCCTCTTCACCCTAATGGCTGAGCTTTCGGTTGCTAAAGAAGAGAAAGGGGCGGAAACGGGAGGTACAAGCGAGTCAGGATGTTCGATTTTATCTATGTTTTGAGTTGCTTGCTGTTTTCTTGTAGAATGAGGCCTGAGGATTCTAAGTGGTATGTGTAAGGCTCCTACTTGGTCTTATCATTTGCAAAGGATTATACATTGAGCTGCGGCATTCCAAGGCAATGTTAATTTATCTGTGAGAAGATTGTTTAAAACTGTAAGGACTACCCTTAATTTGTACACCCTACCGACCACGAATTTATAATGCTGTGTACACATAAACTTTTCAGCACTTTTGATCGGGAGCTCTATAAAGGGGAGCCCGTGATGAATTTCCTATTATTTGCATCCCAATTTATCAATTATCATTTGTGGTGTAGTGATGAAAATTCCCAGGCCTGCAGATCTGATTTAGTAAGTGGTATCGCTGGGCCTGATTACTGAGGGTTGTGACCTTAGCGCATGCCACTGAGTCTATGCCAGTTGACCACTTGTGGGTAAATGGAGTTGAATAAGAGTTGCACATTCACAGAGTTAACAAAATAACACCAAAAATATCCTGTGAAATGTTTAAGTAAAGAGGAATAAGTAAATGCTCTACTCCCAAATCATAACTTCAAATGTTTAAAGAAATTCCAGCGTTTACATTTTGGAAACAGTCATATTCAGTGTCTTCTACCTACTAAACAAGCAATTTTAAAAAAATGGCTTCTCTCTTGGTGTTCGCCTTATAGGCAGAACAAATTATTCATTTTCCACGTTTAGAGTCTACCTGGAATTTAAATTAGGCCCAGTTAACTGCATTGATTTTCTTTCCACAGACTGTCAAACGAGCTAAATTCCAACCTTTCTTCATTTGACAATTTAGTGTCTGCAACATGCCAGCCAAAAATGGTGTGCAAATACCTGGCTTTCAGTGACTGTCACTGTTCTTTTTGAAAACTAAGTTTAGTTGAGGGAGGAGCAAAGTAAGTCCAGGATAAATAGTGAGACATGAAGCCAGCACACTTTTATTTACTGCCTAATTAGGAAGCTATATCCCAATTGCATTGCCATTACCTGGAAACTTGTTAGACATAGAAGAAAATTTCACTCTTCGCTCTGAATCTTTTGTGTTTCATACAAAATCTTTGAGTGGTGTAGTCATTTTATTTTGAAAAGAACTGTCTTGAAGTTGTATTGTTTGTTATAGTCACTAGCCACATGTGCTCATTAAAATTTTAGTTATTTAGAGTTAAAAATCTGTGACTTCAGTAACAAAAGGCTTTGAATTGCTCAGTAGTCATATGTAGGTATTGGTGACCTATTGGAAAAGTGCTGACAGTTTTATGCTGGTCTGTGATAAGGGATTTCTTTTGAGAAGCTTCTGATCAGGACTGGTCATGGCAGTGTGACACATGCCTGAGAATGAAGACTTAGAGTATTTCTAATATTTGATAGAAATTAAGTGTCTTCCATATATACTTGTAGGTGGACTAGAGACATGGACTAGAGACGTGTTAAAAGGACATTTGGAGTTTGAAAGCATTAGTGTTCTTTTTACAAAATAAAACAGATATAAATGCTTGTCTTGGAGGGGTATCAATTGGCCAGTGTCATGATGTAAGATCACATGATAGGATGCTACCAAAATGTTTTCATGTTTGACTTTAACAAAGTTCTGTCCTTGTGTTGTTTTGCTCCTTGTTGATAGTTAATATGCAGTCACTTTGCTCCTGGAATCTTCGAAATTCAGTGCATTTTGGATTGCTTAAACACAACCATTGTAGAATGACCTGGTAAAAGATTCCTGTATCTCACAGTCATGTGTTAGCGGGGTTGTGGTGGTGGTGGTGGTGGGAGGTTATGCAAAACTGAGAGAAGTAGAAGCCATAAATTAGATGATTGCCATTTATCTATCTAGTTCTTTTTCCTGTATTAAACAAATGTTTCAAGGCAGGATGGAGTACATTGTACTATTTTAAGCTATATTCGATGTCAGAGACAAAGGCAAAGAACACAACTCTTTCTTGATGGCTTCCCTATGAAATTAATAGCCAAGTGTTTTCATTACCTCCAGTTTACCATTTCATGTGTGATCCACACTTCAGCAGCCTTGTCCTGATAGGCATGTAGATCCCAAAAAATAACATAGTAACTGTATTCAGCACACTTTTCTTCCATAAAGGTGTGGAAATGAACTTAGCTGGTGAAATTGAGTCTCATTTATTGTGTGGTACTTAGCGCAAAAATTATCTACCACAAATTGAGAAAATGGCCCTTACTGCAAATGCCTTCTCATTTATTGGGATACTATCCATGGGAACCAGAGATACACAGAAATGAAATGATGATTCATGCTTGTCAAAGATGTGTAAGTTGGCTAACAATTCCAAATATTGTTTACTACCTTAATTATCATAATAATGATGGCCAAAGTTTTAAATTTTTAAGAATCTGTCAATACTATCTGCAGGATTGCATCATATAAAGGTGTATATCCAAATGGAAAAGTTCTCTTATTATGCTCATGATCACGTGCTGACAAACTGTTCCTTTCATAAAATACTTCTTACAGAAATTTCTGAGTGCTGCTAATGTAATTGTATTGTTGAACTCCTTTATAAACAGAACTTTATTTTTTGTTGTATGAATGTCACTTAGATCTCAGAGACTTTATTTCAGTATATGCTGCCCAAAAATGATTATTTACAAGAAATTTATTTAAATGGAATTATACAAGTGTGTATATATAATATCTTTAACGTGTATTATCTTGTCTCATGTGTATGTGAGAAAACACTTCCAGTCATAATTGAATTTAGGTCACAAAGACTGGTTTTGCAAATAAATACCCATTAAAATAAATAAAATACTAAATTACTTTTTAATTTTATTTTTCACCAACATTGAGATTCTAAGGAAAAATTTACTTTTTTACTTCTGTACTCAACAATAACCTATTTGCATTACCTCTTTTTTATTGCAAGTGAAAATAAAGTACTGAAAGCACTCATTTGCTCAGTTCTTTATGTGGACGCATTCAGCCAATTTAGACTGCAACAGCATAGCTTACATTTTAAAAGTTAAAAACTCAAGAGAGAATTGAGGGCCTTCAGAAATTTTTTTTCCTTCTAAGCCCTCTGTATTCATATTTGCCATTTGCAAATTTGAAACATCACTTTGAAGTACAAATATATTGTTAGATGGAGCAATTTTACAACCAGGTGTGTGTCATTACATGATGTACAGTATTGAAGAAATGTGACATAAAACTATGAGATGTCCCAATTTACTTCAGGTGACACCTGGCAAAATGATGTTTTAAAATTTTGTTTATTTATATTTTTGGTAGCTCAGATTATTGACCTCTAATGCTCATTCTAGGTCAGAAAAATTTATTCAGAAGCAGAATGGAACTGACACATCCTTATCTTTCTAAATATATTAAACTCCCTAACACTGGGTGATCAGCCCCACCGTACACACTGGTGACACAAATACTTTTTCAAAAATCCATATTTTCCTTAATAATCATCCTACTTGCAAGTAGAACTTTGCATCCCAGTGCCAATTCCTATAGCTTAGTGCAAACAGCACACAGGAGAGCTTGTGCTATTGCTTTCTCGAAAAAACTGATTTTCCCTATATATTTAAGTAAACATGAATTTATTCTCATACTTTTGAGAAGATAAGGATGCGCAGAACAATGTCCGGAAAGAAAGGTTTGTAAACGAAGCAGAGAGAAATAGTATTTTTAAGGAAAACCTGAAAGTTGTCTCAATTTGACCGAAGTTTGGAAGAGAGTTTGGGGAATCAGGGAAGTTTCAGGGAGCCGGTTTTGAAAGTAGGTGTAGAAAACAAGGCATGAACTAAGCCTGAAGATTATCTGATCCGGTTTCCCCAAATCCCTAAGTATTTCGTGACCAGATTTCTTTCATTTTTAGTCTTTTTCAAGGCGCAACAAACACAGCCGCAGGGAAAAGCGGAGGATCTCTTCTCCAGCCGCGCGGCGCACGGAGCAGGGAACCAATCACCACGCAGCGTCTCTCTATATAAACCCCTAGCCTTCAGCGTCAGGGACATGCCGTTCTGACAGTTTTGAGCTTAGTTTAACCTCTTCTGGTGAGAGAGAAACATGTCGGAGACTGTTCCAGTTCCCCCTGCTGCCCCCGCACCTGCGGAGAAAGCACCTGTGAAGAAGAAGGCGAAGAAGACAGGCGCTGCTGCGGGGAAACGCAAGACGACCGGACCCCCGGTGTCCGAGCTGATCACCAAGGCCGTGGCCGCCTCCAAGGAGCGCAGCGGGGTGTCGCTGGCCGCGCTCAAGAAGGCGCTTGCTGCCGCCGGCTACGACGTGGAGAAGAACAACAGCCGCATCAAGCTGGGTCTCAAGAGCCTGGTGAACAAGGGCACCCTGGTGCAGACCAAGGGCACCGGCGCTTCCGGCTCTTTCAAGCTCAACAAGAAGGCGGCTTCTGGGGAGGCCAAGCCCAAGGCCAAGAAGGTGGGCGCGGCCAAGCCTAAGAAGCCTGCGGGGGCCGCGAAGAAGCCTAAGAAGACAGCGGGCGCGGCCGCCCCTAAGAAGAGCGCAAAGAAGACCCCCAAGAAGGCGAAGAAACTCGCCGCGGCTGCTGGCGCCAAGAAGGTGGCAAAGAGTCCCAAGAAGGTGAAAGCGACGAAGCCCAAGAAGGCTGCCAAAAGCCCAGCTAAGGCCAAACCCTCTAAGCCTAAGGCTGCCAAAACGAAAGCTTCCAAGCCCAAGGCAACGAAGGCGAAGAAAGCTGCCCCAAAGAAGAAGTGAAGATCCTAACCGTTCTTCAAAAAATATCAACGGCTCTTTTCAGAGCCACCCAAGTGTGTCATTCGAAAGAGTTGAACACTTAACTTTTTAAAGGGATGAGTTGAGTCTCGTTGCGTGCTTTGCTCTTGTCTCCTTAACTTGTAGGGTGCGAGTGCGCATGGCCAGAAAGTCTGGCGGGGCTTTGCCAGTTACGGCGTTTTTCTCGTCTGGGAAGTTAGTCCCGAAATGTGCTACACCCTGGGAACTGCTAGATTTCCCCCTATCAAGCAGGGCCCTGGCTTGGCCAGCTCTGGGCACGGTATGGTACGCATCTGCTTCAGTAATTTTCATAGCTCGGCTCCGCGCTGTGGTCTGGACCGGTTGGTAATTGATTACTTTTAAGAAGATCTTGTTCTCTACTGCCGTGAGACGCTTAAGAAATAACTAGACCTGGGAATAAATTTTGTTTTGCGCGCCTCGGAATTTTGAGCGCAACTGGGCCAATCAGAGGGAGGGATGGTAACCTGTGGCTGTTTTTCCAAAGTATTTTGTCATTGGTGTGCATCGCTGTGAAGTTGGCCAATCAGGATGTTCAACCAATATATCCGGAGTTGTTGCATTGGCAAGGTTTTCCCCAGAGAAAATGTTACAATCCACGCGATTGAAGTATTAACCCTGCGCATGTAACTAAGATGTGGCCACAGAAGCCCCTGCCGCTTGTCTTGACGTGTATGTGTACTAGGAAGCCTGAGAGGCCTGGTATTTTTTTTTCCTTCCTGAAAGTTTGGATTTTTTTTTTTTTGAGGTTTTTCGAATACTAGGTATTCTCATATAATCTGGATAATTATCGCTACCACCGAGGTGCTGAGTATGGCAAGAAATTTAAAGACCATTTCTGTAACTTTCCTATCTAACCTTTTCTTTCCCATCGACTGTTAAAGGCACCCGGGGATCCGTGGTTAGCTGTTTCCCTCATATGTTGGTAAGTAGACCATACAAACCTTAGGTGGCATGCTTTGGAAGCAAGGTGATGAAATAGGAGTTACCAGGGCAAAGAAAATGGGCTAGGGAAGAGAAGTTGACGAGGTCGGGACGGACTACCTTTCTGTTTGGTCTTGATGAATTTTTGAAAAATTACTTTTACTTTTAATATTTAGTTTTTTGGTTTTTTGAGACAGGGTCTTACTATGTAGGTGAGACTGACCTGGAACTCACTATGTAGCCTAGGCTGGTCTCGAACTCAGTGATCCTCCTGCCTCTGCCTCCCAAGTGCTGGGAATACAGGCATGTGCCACCATGCCCAGGTACTTTTACTTTTAAAAAGCCCAGTTTTATTCATAAATCCTGACCACATAATTCTATAGATGCCTATTGGGCTCAATGGGAAAAATGTTCATCTTTATTTTTACACATTTAGATTGTCAGTTCCTTCGGTTTCTGTACAGGTTGTTAATAACACTGGATTTCGAAGTATGGTGTTTTCAGTACTGAAAACATGGTTTTTGATCACTATTCAGGTTTCTTCAAATGGAGTTTACAGTTGGTAATTCTTTTGAACTGACATTTGTTACTGAAGAAGCAAATATGTTTCTGTTCATGAAATTTTTTTGATAACCATCATTTTCCCCTGTCCTTAAAAGCCACGGGGTTTTGAGAAGGTCTGTGTATGTTTGCACAGACCATACAGTGCACAGTCCAACTCATGCCCTTAAATCTTCAGCAGCAGAATCCTGAAAATCCCTCCTGATTGAAATACCTCACCTTATTTGTTTTGTTTACTTACTTTGTTAGGATTTATTAAAATTTTACATCTTATTTAAACTTTTCTATTATAAAAGAAAAAAAAAAAAGGGAGGAATGTGTCCGGGACTGTCTTTGTAGCTCAGTTATGCAGGATGGTAAGTTTTTGGAACCCCTGGTACATCTCAATTTTTTCTTTCTAATGAAAGGCAGAACTTCGCTTTATGAGAGTGGCTTGGTTGGGAGGGATGTCAGAATCATCAGAGAATGTGGAATGGCAAAATGAAAATATATTTTAAATAACAGATTTGAATCACCCAGGACGAACAAGGAAGAAATAAGGGAGGTCTTCAGTTCCCAGAAATGAGAGTTAGGTTCTTACTGAGGATGGGATGTCACAGTCAGTAAGGACGATCACAATGACCATCATGTCTCCAGGATTATTTAAGAATTTCTGTCTTATTTGGGTCTCATCACTACAAAGCACTGGCAGTTGTGAATAAAATGATTATTTAAAATTTTTTTTTCGGCCCGGGGATTTAGCTCAGCTGTTCGGTGCCCTGCCTTGCAAGCGCAAGGACCGGAGTTCAATCCCCGGTACTGAAAAAAAAATTTTTATAATAATCATTTTATTCACAACTGCCAGTGCTTTGTAGTGAAAAAAAATTTTTTTTTTCGGTACTGGGGATGAAACTAAGGACCTTGCAAGGCAGGTATGGTGCCACTGAGCTAAATCCCTGGCTGAAATGATTATTTTATTTTTATTTACTTATTGTTATAACTGGGGATCAAATTTAAGACCTTGTGCTTGAGAGGCAGGTGCTGTGCCACTGAGCTAAATCCCCACCCTTGAAATGATAATTTTATTTTTTTATTTATTTTTTGGTACCTGAGATCGAACTTGGGTCCTTGTGCTTGCAAGGCAGGCGGTGGAACCACTGGGCTAAATCCCTGGCCTGAAATGATAATTTTACAGTTGAAGTGTTGACTTAGAAAGACCTGATGACCAGAAATAAGCATTTGTTGTCAGTACATGCACTGGATTTAGGATCTGTTCATGATCTTTTTGATTCTTTGCTTTCCCTCATACTACACCTGTCTCTTAGGGAAAAGTGTTAGAATTCAGTTATGTTATAGGCTCATGGAACAAGAAGAGATGTCTCTATTTTATTTTTAGCTCATTGTGAGCTATTCAATTCCCAAGCACAAGGAATGCAAAGGGAACAATGAAATCCAGAACCCTCCAGAGTCTTATTCTGACTCATATCAATTCCCATTCACATACCTCTGCTTTCAACAAGCACTTATTTTCAAGGGAAGGAGAACTACAAATTTAATTCTGTTTCTTATTTTTCAGCAGATAAATTGGGTTATAGTGTTTGCCAGAGGATGGATGAGTGAAGATTGAAGGCAGCATGGAAGATGTGAGAGACATTTTCATCTTTTCTCTGCTGATGGAGAGCACTTTTGTGTAGGGTATAGGTCTGACATACAAGTAACTTGTGGGCTTGACTGGGCCAGGGATTCAGCTCAGTGGTTCCACTGCCTACCTGGCAAGCACAAGGTCCCAAGTTCAATCTCAGGTACCAAAAAACACAACAACGAAAGAAAATAACTAACTTGCAGAAACACTTTAAAGGCACTGCTTTGTTCCTTGGGCTTAGAAATTGCCCGAGTTCTTTCAACTGGTGGAAGCTGAGTTAATGTTAATGTGTGGAGCTCTTAATTTTTCTGTCACTCCCTTAATAACTCAGGTTCTTTTTATTTTTATTTTTTTTGGTAACAGCAGGATGTAAAGTTTTTTGAACCACTCCTGCTTCTCATAATTTTTTTGTTGCAGTTTTTGAGGCAAGGCCTTACTGCGTAGATTGGGCTGGGCTGGCCTTGAACTCACTTTGTAGCTCAGGCTGACCTCAACCCTCGTGTTATAAGATATCACCAAAATGGTGCTATTGCATGAGTGAAAAGCACAGAGTATTTTTTGCAAGAGATTGGTCCAGTGGTGTTTAGGATTTTCATGTCTTAGTGATAAATAATGGGGTATTTCCATATGGTTTGATTAAGACAATATTTAGGAATGCTTAAAAGTTCCTTTTGAGTATGTCAGCTGAAAAGTTGGAAAAGCTCAGTGTTTCTGTTGAACTGACATTCAGAGGTTTGTCTGAGACTCAGTTAATTGTTCCTTCAGTCTTTGCAGATTAAACCTCAATGAAAGCCAACAGAACTCCTCTGTGTCCTTCGTGAGCCACCTAATAACCCACTAAGTCTTGGCCCATCATGGGCTTTGGGGTTTGTGCAAGACCTGGCACAAGAGGATGCCAGCAAGCCTGGAATATCGGAGCTGACTCTAGTCCCAGCACCCTAGGAAGATGGGGCAGAACATGATCAGATGAAGCTTTAGGATTACAGGTTGGAGCTCGGGTTGGGCAATTTAGTGATTTAGTTAGACTGTCTTGAAAATGTATATATAGCTCAAATCAAAGACTCAGGGTTCTGTCCTAGTAAGGGGGTGTGAGTCCGGTCAGGTCCCAGCAACAAACTGGAGTATAATACCTAGTGAACAAGAAAACCGTGCCGTGGACCAAGAAGACCCTTGTGTCTTTGCACCCTTTACAAGCTTCTTGCAAATCCAAGCCTTTTCAGTGTTGACATCATTAAGTGGCTGACCACAACTTGCTAAAAAGAAAGGGGATGGTGAAGCCAAAGTGATCAAAATCAGATTAACTACAGTTGAGGCTACATTAAACGGCTAGAGTGGTAAAACCTACCATGTGCCTAAGGGGAAAGGTGTTCATCTATTGAGGTGTTGAAACCTTAATTCCAAAACTACTCCCAACCTTTACAGACAGGGTCAATCAACCTCACTTGTAAATTGTTTGCTTTGCAAAAACTACAGCTTTTTTCAGAGAAAGGAGTTGGCCCTGTAAAGAGCCTTTTGAGTTTGAAGTTGGTATTTGGAGAACAATTTATGCCCTCTCCCCGTGGATGCGAGGCGCGAGCTGGATGTCCTTGGGCATGATATTGACCCGCTTGACGTGGGTGGCGCACAGGTTGGTGTCTTCGAACAGCCCCACGAGATAAGCCTCGCAGGCTTTCTGCAGCACCATGACGGCCGAGCTCTGACGGTTGATCTTGAAGTCCTGTGCGATCTCGCACACCAGGCGCTGGAATAGCAGTTTGCAGATCAGCAGCTTGGACTTCTGGTAGCGGCGTATTTCGTGCAGCGCCACAGTACAGCCCAGGTAGCAATGCGGCCTTGCGGGAAGCCTTGGTGGCCAGCTGCTTGCGTGGGACCTTGCCGCCGGTGGAATTGGGAGCGATTTGCTCAGTGTGAGCCATGAAGCAAACAGAAACGCAGCAGATGGAACGCTGGCTGGGTCCTCTCTATACAGGAATGAGTCACTCTGGATTTGGGAGCATTTCTCAGTGGTGGCTAACTTCCGCTAGTGCCCAGAGCGATTTAAGCTTGGTTGATCCTTTTAATGCAGTTTTTGATGGTTTAATTTCAGTTACAAAGACCCATAAAGATCAGCTTCTAACCTGCAGATTTCTTTATTAATGTTTTCTATCCTTGAGCGGTAAACATGAGTACACTAATCATACAACTTGATATATTTGCTTTTTCATCTGTTTGGTTTTAAAAGAATGTTTGAAAGAGACAGTGCTTATAGATTTAAGTTTCCAAAAACACCTGCTGGTCTTTCCTACTTAACTACTGTTTTCCTTCCAGCATTTTTTCTTTCCAGGGCTTGATATACAGAGCTTTCATAAGCATGGGCAAGGCTGAGGTTCATGGCAGCACTGTTCCTGGCATGGGGGGAGGGTGAACAAAACCCAAGTCACCAGCAGAGGTTGTCTCTTTTCATGGGCCTTAGTTTAATTTTATTTGACTAGATAACTAATTCTCTGCAACACAATTTTGCATAATGTTCTGTTCAAAAGTAAGGAATTTTGATTCTCATTCCAGGTACAAGTAACAAAATTTGAGTCCCTTGTCCTTTAACATCTGGTTTGAAGCAAAGGGACAATTTGTTATTGTGGCTTTTTTTTTATTTATTTGAAAAATCTACATGATGGCAATATCAGACAGGAAAACATTTCTTCAGTGGACAACCTTGAAGGAGATGGCAGGGAAGAGTCTCCTATTTATTTATGAGCCCAGAGTAGCATAAAGTCTCATCGTTTTTGCCAGAGACACCCTGGGGTGTTCTGGACGATTTGTGACTGGCAGAGCTTCTCTTGGGATTTGGACCTTCCCAGATCAGACAATTTTTTCCCCCTGATTTTTAGGTCCAATGTGACAGTTCCCAGTTCTTTTCAAACTACAAAAAACAAAACAAAACAAAACAAAAAACTAGAGAGAGAGAGAGAGAGAAAAGATTTTCTCATTTACATTCTGATAATCTGGCTAATTTGCTGTAATCAGTGATTACATTTATAAGTCCTTGATCTTGTACACCTACAGTATATACAGCAACTTTGTGATTGTCTTTGGAGGTCTGTACCTTTTTCTGTTCTACCAAATAGCAACAGTTCCTAAAAGGACTGTGAATAAAGTGATGAGGAAAGATGGCAAAAACAGATGCTACATGTAGTAAGTAGTGCTATTTGTGTAGGTGCATGAGGTACGAAAGCAGGTGGTTTGTCAAAATCTTCAGGCCTACCATGGGTGATGCACCTCTCCTGGCACATTCCAAGGAACAGAGGACCATCTTGTCCAGAGACATCCAGATGTCGTTTACTGCCAGGCTAGATGCCCAGATACCCTATGTTTGAGATTTCCAAATTTGTCACCAAAGTCACATCTTCAAATAAACTTTTCTCTTGATCTTACTGCTTAGAGATTCTTATCAGAACCACCAACTTTTGTTAGTTTCATTCTCACAGCAACATATTTTCCTATTGTGTCTTGTAAAGATGTTTTGTTTCATTTCTGCACTTTATCTATTGTAAATAGAGTATGTAGGAAACAATTTTTTTGGGGGTACTGGGGAATCAAACTCAGGACCATGTGCTTGCAAGGCAGGCACTGGAATCACTGACTTAAATCTCCGGCCCTGAAACATATTGAGAGTGTGTGATTTACTTCAACTTTTCAGTTGAGCAAGGATGTTTAACACATAATTGTATGCAGTAGGAAAAGTATGGAATGTAGCTATACTGTGTACCTAAAAAGTACCAATAAACTCAATGAAAAAAAGCATTGAGACAAATTTTCTAGTGTTGCTAAATTTTTTTTCTGTTTGGATATTATAAGCTTTAGTTGATGTTCTAAATATATGAATGTCCTCAAACTTGTCCCATAGGTAGATTTTAATGTAATTTTACTGTGGCCACATGTGGCTTTTAAAGTGGCCTAATACTTTTACTTATTCCTGGTTTCAAATACAGTGCCCACATTGTGGTTGTATCTGTTTTACAGATTAAAAGCCACATTTTATGAAGGTGATATGCCAGTTCATAGAGCAGATGATGGAGTAGGCTGGGGTGGTTCTTTCCTGTTCTTTGACTTGAAGGTTTAATCTTATTATGCCCATTGACTATTTCCAAGGCAATTCTTCAAAATTTCATTAAAAATAAAGTTTTCATTGCCTTTCTTTGAGATTAGTTTTGATATACACCTTTTCCATGGTGCTTGTCCAGGGTCTGACCTTTTTCCCCCTATTTTTTTGTATTTCTGTTTTGTTGTAAATGGACCAAACAGTGACTAAAGGGGTGCGATAGGGTAGCAGCAAGGTTGAGTAAATAGAAGACCTATTCCTGCTGCGAGCACACAAGATACAAATAGGAATTCATCAGTTGCACATATTCATATTTTGAAAGTACATCATTGGTATTTTTATTGCTCAAAATGATATACTCTAGATAAATTGCATTTGTGTGAACATCAAACTTAAAAAGTTTCCTTTAGGATAGTCACCAAGGCACCACCAATATTTGTGGTAAACCACGGGTAGATATTGCCTCAACAACAGTATACTGAATAGCAATACAAATACACACATACACACACGCACACACATACACACATATTTCAAAAGATCAAAATTACAGTTTCACTTAATTATATCTGTTATTTGGAGTAGAAAGTGGGTTTTTGGTGACTGCATGTGTGTAAAGGAGCTATTACTTTTCTATTGTATAATATGGCATCTCAGATTCAGTGGCTTTCTGCAGGACTGAAGGTTTGTTTTCTTGTGAGTTGTCAGCTGGAGGCTTCTTTGTTAGTTCACAGAGGCTTCTGAATTTATTGCCATTTGAGCTTTCTAACAATTGATCTTGGTGCATACAAGGCAGCATTTGAGTGTCCAGTGAGATGGGTATTACAGTGAGAGATAATCTAATCATAGGCACGCATTTACATTCAATCACCTTTGCTGGACTCTAAAATGAGAAGCAATTTTTCAGATTTCTGTTCAAGTGTCTGAATCTTTCAGGGTGAAACCAGGAGGGAGAAACCACCTATGTGCATTTGTGTGGAAAGCACTTTTACCAGTACTTTAAGTAAAATTAAAAAGATGTCTTACAACCAGAAAGAAGTTTACTAGCATAATTGTTATAGATTGTATCTAGATGTCTCCCAAAGACTCATGCGGACATATGTTGAGTTTTTTGGTGGTGGATAGATCTGGTGTGATGCTGGGATTAAGGATGTGACACTGGTATTGATTTATGCTGCAATACTAGGATTAAATGTGTAGTACTAACCTGCCCTAAGGGCAAGCAGTCTGGCTGCAACAGAAGGGACAGAGAGGGCTGCTCTTGTTACCTTTTGCAACAGAAATAGAGACTTTCTCTTCTGTGATGCCTCTTTGTTGGGCCACCCTGCCTAGGAGCCAGCCAACTATGAACTGAAACCTCTACAAACTGGGCCAAATAAACCTTTTCTCCTTTGACTTTGGAAGTCAGGTATTTGCCTCAGCAAGGAGAAAAGTAATAAAGACACCATATGCTTGCAGTATCGATTGGCTCAATTAGGTTACATGCAGTAATCTGTGCTACAGGTAGGGCGAGCACATCAGGGAAAATAAAAAATGAGATGAGAGTTGTGGCTAAGCATCTTCATAGTGATGCAAGTTACACTACTGAAATGTGTAGTGAGAAAGTAAGCTATATGCAGCTTAAATTTGGTTAATAACTCAAGTTCCCTTGTTTAAACCTAATCCTTTGTTCCCTTCACCTGGCGAGTATAACTGCTGGAAATTTTCCAACCAAAATTTCCCTCTTTGGGGACTGAAGCCTCTTCAAGCCTCATGTCATAAGTAGCAGTTAAGTGCAAGTATCTGCAGGAAGTCAAACTTCACATTTATACATGACTGTTGAAGTCTTAAAAATAACTTGGGGAAACAAAACAAATGTTGGAAGAGTACAAAAAACAATCAGCCCTTTCCAGTGTGTAGATTGGAGCCTCTGAAAAGGGCCTAATGATGTTAGAGGTAGTCTTTTAACCCTTAGCCCCCAAAACCATAGAGCATGCGTCCCTGGCTCTTGAGCGCATAGACCATGTCCATGGCCGTGACTGTGTTGCGCTTTGCGTGCTCCGTGTAGGTGACGGCATTGCGGATCACATTCTCCAGGAAGACTTTCAGCACCCCGCGCATCTCCTCCTAGATGAGGCCAGAGATGCGCTTGATATCGCTGCCCTGGGCCAGGCGGTGGATGGTGGGCTTGTTGATGTTGTCCCATAGCACCTTGCAGTGCCTCTTGGTGTCTCCTTTGCCACGGTCAGATATACTGAAAGCAGCAGAGATGGGGCAAGGAATCCAATGACTTTTTGCGTTCAAGGACAAGACCTTTATAAAAGGATGAGGACCTGGTTTAAAACTTGAAGTGCAGGTTGGGAACTGTGCTTCCCACCCTTCTTTGTATTTTTCTCCTGCTCAGAATGAAGGAGAGGAGAGGAGCCTGAGGTAACAGCAGAGCCTGCAGGAATGCATAGATGTCACTGACCTCCCTTAGGGAGGCGGGGAAGGAGACAAGGACTGCATTGTCTGTCCTGGCTCATTCCCCTCAATCATCACTTTTTGAGCGTTAAAAATTTTATTGTCTATCTGTGGGAATGAAACTGTTGCACCTCTCAGGCTAACACTCCCCCCCTTTCCTCCCTCTCTCTCCCTCTCCCTGTTGGAAGTCGGGGTCTGGCCAGGTTGGACTTAAACTCACTGTAGCTCTGGCCCACCTGTTAGTCAGTGATTCTGCCTCAGCCTCCAGAGAGTTTATCAGAGTGTAACATCATGCCTGGAGCAGGCTGACATCTTGCAAATTTGAACTACTTAAGGTTTTTGGAAAAATTTCTGAAATTTTACACTGTCATATATTTTATACATATAAAAGAGTCTTTTTTGGAAAAAAATGTACTTTCAATTAAAATAGAGAGTGTTAGGTAAAAAGAGCTAAAAACCAGGAGCAGATCAGGACCATAGCAATCCTTTATATGGGGAGGATCTACCGGTCTGTCTCCGAACAAAGGAGAGAGAGCAACATGGCAGAACAGAGAGCTTCTTTTATAAGAGCAGGATGGGGTTGAGTGACGTAGTGGCTAGGGATTGGGGGAGCTTTTGACATCACTGAGGGGGCTAGCGATATCACTAGCTGCTGGGGATAGCAAGTATCAGGTTATTCTTTTGGTGGAAGAAGAGGCATGATGGGAAGAAGAAGCCTATCATTTGTTGGGAGAAGCCATATTCTAACATGGAGGCTGCTATTCTATGTGGCAGCCATTTTAAGGCAAGGGAAATCTAACATTCCAGGCTTTTTGTTTTATGGTTATTGGGTGAAGGCTCCTGGTGCTGCTTCAAGCTGACAAAGGGGCGAAAATTTGGGCTAAACCTGGATCTGGTGGGGGCAGCGGTAGGAGGGCGCTTCCTCCCTCTGCCATGTGGCCAGTAACCCACCATGAGTTCTGTGGCTGTCTGGCTGGAAAATGTCCTCATACACTCCTGCAAGAAATTTTGAAAACAGCGAAGCAGACAGGGCCCTATCATTAAATGGCATATACAAGCCAGTGGGCTCCAAGAGGGAAGTAGCCAAGACATAATTTGGGGAAGCCAGGAATAGCGCTCTGGTCTATTTCCCAAGAATTCAAACATCGTTTTTGTTCTTCAATGAGCTGCTGTAATTCTTTAAACTTTGCTTTAACAACCCCTGACTGGTTAACAAAAGAACAGCATTCTTCACCTAGCACCTGACAAGTTCTCCCTTGGTCAGCTATCAGCACATCAAGGTCCCTTCTATTTTGTAACAGGACTGCTGCTATAGAATTTGATCTTGTACTGTATTTAAGGACTGGCTTACTTTATCCAGGTCTTCCGAAATCTCTATGGACAGGGCCAATAGAAATGTGGGGATGTAGAAGTTCCTGCTATCCCCACTGCCATCCCATTTCATGAAAAGAAATGAAGGAAAAATCACATTATTCCTATGAGTTAAGCAAATATCAAGAAAGGCTGAACCAAGAAAATTAAATTATTTGGAATCTACAAAATGTAAAAAGTCAGTTGTGTACTTCTCGATGAATGAATAAAGTAAGGATGTCAAAGATTTACACTGAGAACTCACATTTAATGTGTAGGTTCATTATTCATTTTTTTCTCTAGTAAAGATTCATAAAGTGGGAGAAATTCTCTAGCTGCAAGTTAGGAAAAAGAGTATAATTTCCCAAATCATTATCAGGCTAGATGAGAATATTAGGAAAATATTTTTTCTGCATTTCATTATTAACTAGTGATTAAAGTTATCAAATTTAGTGAAGTTTCTTCTTAACTTTTGTGTTTTCTTCTTGTAGTCTTACGCAAAATTTCTATTCACTGGAACAGCTGTGACTCCAAAGACTCCAAAGCCTTTTTGCCATTGTTTAACTCAAATTCAACAATCTCATCGTAACAGTTCTTTGTTAAATGTTTACAAAATACATAATTGAATTGCTCTTTCATTCTATGAAAACATTTTATTTCATTCAGTGAGGTGCACTCTTGGTACCTTTTCATTTTATATGTTTTGACTCATGATTTCACTGTTTTAAAATAATTGGTTAAAAGAAAATATCTGATTTGCAGGTAAAGAGGTGCTGCTCCTGTAATGTATTTTCTATCTGGGGCACACTAGACCCAAAGGTCACATAGTCGCCATGAAAACTGTGAGCTCTGGAGGCGCGGGTCAGATGTGAGGTCTTGTGCAGTCTAAGCAGCTTTCTGATCAGTAGCTGAGGGGATCTGGTAGTGGCGGATCGCGCGCAGCCCCAGGGCAACCGTAGCAGCGAGGCTTCTTCAAGCCGCCAGTGCCCGGCTCGCTCTTGCGGGCCGCCTTGTTAGCCAGCTGCTTGTGCGGTGCCTTGCCGCTGGTGGACTTGGAATGTTTTGTTTCATATGGCTCTAAGAGCGCAGCTGTGTGTTTGTATCATGCTGTTCAATATTTATAAGCTGAGTTTGCTTTATCGCCCCGTACTGTGAGGTTTGCCCTAATACAGTTGTCCTCATCTGTATAATTTAAAAAACCCGCCCTGAAATGTGACTGGTCAGTTTTTTTCTTTGTTCTCTCATATTTTAATTATCATTTTGGCCTTTATTCTTTTCAAGTATTCTGAGACTGTTAACATCCAATTATGCATATTTGTCTATTTAGAGTAATGAATAGAAACCTACACCAAATATTCATCTTCACGTTAGTTTCGGTAACCTTTGCTTACAGAGGCTAAAACCCATTCTTTAAACGTGAAATTGTACTTTTCTCCCAGCGCATTTGCAAGTGCATTTCGCAATGATTTCAGAGTTGTTCTTTTCTGAAACGGCTTATAATGCAAAACAGTAAATAAGCCAACCTCTCCTGGGCCAAGTCTGAGTTTCCATTTGGAAATGTGAAAACTTGTTAGCTTCCGTGAAATCTGCCGTTGTCAGTTAAATGTTTACTGTGCTTAAAAAGCATCGCAGCGCTTTACAGAAAACATGGGTGGCTCTGAAAAGAGCCTTTGATATCCAGGAATAGGGGCCACTGAAAAGCTGATAATCACTTCACTTGCCCTTGGCCTTGTGGTGGCTCTCGGTCTTCTTGGGCAGCAGCACAGCCTGGATGTTGGGCAGCACGCCACCCTGCGCGATCGTCACCTTGCCCAGCAGCTTGTTGAGCTCCTCGTCGTTGCGGATGGCCAGCTGCAGGTGGCGCGGGATGATGCGCGTCTTCTTGTTGTCGCGCGCCGCGTTGCCCGCCAGCTCCAGGATCTCGGCCGTCAGGTACTCCAGCACGGCCGCCAGGTACACCGGGGCGCCGGCGCCCACGCGCTCGGCGTAGTTGCCCTTGCGGAGCAGGCGGTGCACGCGGCCCACGGGGAACTGCAGCCCGGCGCGGGAGGAGCGAGTCTTGGCCTTGGCGCGAGCCTTGCCGCCCTGCTTGCCGCGTCCAGACATAGTACCTTTGTAATTGTGAGAAGACGAAACAGCCACAAAGGAAGGAAAAAAAATGTACTGGATGGAGCAGTATGAAGCTTCTTATACTGGTTGGTGGAAGTGTAAACCGAGAGATTTGATTGGTTAAAATTTGATTTCTCCAGCCATCCAATAAGAAAGGAGGTTAAACTAATATATTTGAATGTATTTCGTCACTGACATATTTTCAAATCAGACTTGAATATTTTTGAAACCTTATTTGCATAGAAGGCCTATAAATGAAGTACTTCTCAGACCTCTCTCACTTTAGCATTTCAGTTCTACTTTGTATATTAGTTTCATTTTTGTGGACATGCCAGAGCCAACAAAGGCGGCCCCCGCCCCGAAGAAGGGCTCGAAGAAGGCGGTGACCAAGGCCCAGAAGAAGGACGGCAAGAAGCGCAAGCGCAGCCGCAAGGAGAGCTACTCGGTCTACGTGTACAAGGTGCTCAAGCAGGTCCACCCGGACACGGGCATCTCGTCCAAGGCCATGGGCATCATGAACTCCTTCGTCAACGACATCTTCGAGCGCATCGCCGGCGAGGCGTCTCGCCTGGCGCATTACAACAAGCGCTCGACCATCACGTCGCGGGAGATCCAGACGGCCGTGCGCCTGCTGCTGCCCGGGGAGCTGGCCAAGCACGCCGTGTCCGAGGGCACCAAGGCCGTCACCAAGTACACTAGCTCCAAGTGAGCGCGCCCTCAGCTCCCTGCAACCCAAAGGCTCTTTTCAGAGCCACTTCTATTGTCACGTATAGAGTTGTAATTTTCTTTCAGCGTTACCTTTTAAGTACGTATAGTGAAAAGTCGTGTTTCTTTTTGGTATAATTTCGGTACTTCAAGCATTTTAGTAGTAATTTCTTTTAGAGTATTCTGATTTGAATAGCAGTCTTACTGCAAAATTACTTCGTATCTCTTTTGAAATGTTTCAACCTATTTCGTGTAAAAATCTTTTAAAATTTATTGCGGATGGTACTCGGGACCTTGAGCTTTCAAGGCAGGCGGTGGAACCACTGAGCTACATCCCTGGCCGGAAAAGTTTAAACCTAATTCCTAATACTTTTATGATGTGTGGCATGGGCTCAGTGACCGTACATAGTTTGGGGAGACAATACTTCCTGCCAAATTGTGCTGTTAACGTTCTCACTAAATTTGTGGTGGACTACTAGGATGACAGAGCTATGGGTATGAATCAAAATAATTGACACTGTCTTTTCCTTGTTATGTATCATTTCCCACTTCATGTGTGCTATTTGATCTAGAAGTTAGACCACGCCTCAATTTGTCATGGCAGTGGAGTGTGTATAGGAAACTCCTAGCCCTTTCAAATATTGCTACTACTACTACTACTGATACAGGATATAATCCCAAGATGAGATATGAAATACTATTTCTTCTAACCTGTTAACTGGATGTTTCACTGCGTTATTCTCTAGTAATTGAAGAATGAATCATAGGAACAATGGAGGTTAATAGTAGGAAGATATTTATTGATACAAAGCTCCTGAGTGGCAGGAGGGGTCCCAGGGGGTAGTGGAAGGAACCCCACTTTACAGGAGTTTTGAAGTGAAACCCATGCGGTTGCAACGTGAGCCATAGGCATGAACATCCAATAAGGTTATAAGTGACAAGTACAGTTACTTAGGTAAACTAATTCAATTGAAGCATACAATTTTGCTTTGACTGAGAATAATGCCATTTAATTGATTCTCAATAAGCCACTAGTAAGACCACTAATCAAGTTTACGGAATTCTCTCCATCAAGAAGCCTTATTAGACTAGTAAACATCATAATTGCATAAGAGCGCACACAATGAGCAGGCAGCAAAAAAATGCCGAGATGAGTTAGGAGTGGTGGGCAGGCCTTTAATCCCCAGTGGTTGGGAGGATTAGGCAGGAAGATTGCTACAAATTCAAGGCAATCCTGAAATATTTAGGGAGTACCTGTCTTAAAAACAAAAGAAAAAACAAAGGAAAATGCAGAGGTGATGACAGTGTTCACTCATTTGCAAATAAACCTTCGCACTATCAAAATGTGTAATTTAGCACCACAGACGCAAGCCTCGGTTTTCAGCAAAAGCAATATGCTGGGGGTAAAAAAATCGCTGAAAACATGCAAAGTCATCACAACTCTTGTAGTGAGAAAGTAGGTGGCTCTGAAAAGAGCCTTTGGGTTGCAGGGAGCTGAGGGCGCGCTCACTTGGAGCTGGTGTACTTGGTGACGGCCTTGGTGCCCTCGGACACGGCGTGCTTGGCCAGCTCCCCGGGCAGCAGCAGGCGCACGGCCGTCTGGATCTCCCGCGACGTGATGGTCGAGCGCTTGTTGTAATGCGCCAGGCGAGACGCCTCGCCGGCGATGCGCTCGAAGATGTCGTTGACGAAGGAGTTCATGATGCCCATGGCCTTGGACGAGATGCCCGTGTCCGGGTGGACCTGCTTGAGCACCTTGTACACGTAGACCGAGTAGCTCTCCTTGCGGCTGCGCTTGCGCTTCTTGCCGTCCTTCTTCTGGGCCTTGGTCACCGCCTTCTTCGAGCCCTTCTTCGGGGCGGGCACCGACTTCGAGGGCTCAGGCATGTTTACAGAAAGGAGAAGCCTGTCCACAAAAGATGTGGTATAATTTTTCCCAGATGTCCTTAATATTTGTAGGACATTTATGCAAATAGGGTATTTTATCATTTAGGTTCTGATTGGAGAATTTGTCGGGGTCCACAGGTCATATGCAAATTATGTGCTTTTCAATTCTATCTTGCAATTGGCTCACTCCTACAGCTTGTTTAAGCCAATCACCGAAAGGAGTTTACAATCCACAGTGGAAGTATAATAGCCTGTTCTTTTTGATTTGAAAATACCGCATTCCTTTTTTTTCTTTCTCTTCTTCGATTCGGGGTCAATCCTAAATGTCCGGACGCGGCAAGCAAGGCGGCAAGGCTCGGGCCAAGGCCAAAACTCGCTCCTCCCGCGCCGGGCTGCAGTTCCCCGTGGGCCGCGTGCACCGCCTG